TTACAGACCTCTACATGCTTTGTAAGTAGGAAAACCTGCAAAATCGGCAGTGTATCAAATACTTGTTCTCCCCACTGTATATATATATTGTTTTGTTGCTTGTTTTGCATGTTACGTGTCACATATCAGTTTGCAAACAACATAAAAATAAAAAAGTTAAATTGAGTTAATAAAGCCGTATACAAACATGGTCTCTTTTTTTGCTTTCTTGAGTAAGGCAGCTCCAAAATGCAGGCGTTTCAGCCTAGCTCAGTGCTTTCTGTGGCGGTGGGGCAGCCAGCGGAACATACGGAGCGTAGGGGTTGGTAATGTTCTCTACTTGCGCCGTGATTGGCTCAGTGTTCTGTCACTCATGGGGGACACTACGTCACCGCAAACTCTACGGGTAGAGCTTGAAAACTCAAGCCCCCTTGGGTGCTGCCATTGAGTTACAATAGAAGTGCCCATCCAAAAAGGCTCAAGGTCATTGGCCACAGATAAAATGACATCTAATCACGTTATATCTACCGTAGCTTTGATTGGACTGATCATGTCAACATCATACTTTCAAAACCTTAGCTAGCAAGCTAGACAAGCAGTCATCATCATGAATCAAGTCGGCAATCTACTGGCAAATCCTTTTCAATCCTTGTCACATGAAGATAAATTATAGATAAAAACGGGCCTCGCGAGTGGCGCAGCGGTCTAAGGCGTCACTACAGCCTGCTTCTTGACACACTGCTCGCTTAACCCAGAAGCACCAATGTGTCGGAGGAAACACCGTACAACTGGCGACCGAAGTCAGCTTGCAGGCACCCGGCCCGCCAAAAGGAGCGCGATTGGACAAGGACCAGCCAAACCCTCCTTGTGCGCCACCTCATGGATCTCCCGGTCACGGCCGGCTGTGACACAGCCTGGGATCGAACCCGGGTCTGTAGTGACGCCTCAAGCACTGCAGTGCCTTAGACCGCTAAGGCTAAGGTCTGCCACTCGGGAGGCCCCAGCATGACTTCTGCCGCGTTCAAAACAACTGGAAACACGGAACTGGGAAATCTCAGACTTCAGTGAGTTCAAGACAACTGGGAACTCAGATAAAACTAGCTCAGGCTGGGAAAATACGGAAAATAATGTAGATTTCGGGCCTCTTTCTAGAGACCACAAGAAGGACCGCCGCGCCACCTTCCTGTTCAAGTGAGCACAGCACAACGGTGAGTCCAAAAATGTATTGAATGCTGCTGCATAAATGATGTAATATGCCAGGGAGATATGTATACTGTAGCTAAGAAAGTAATACTAAGTGTATGTTGTGTAGTACGCTGTTAGTAGTTAATGTGCCTCACCCTAATAATTTGGTCCCTTTCCCCCCTCATAACTTAGCCTACTGTTCTGACTTGGTGGTGCACATGTAGCCTATAGCCTGTTTTAGAGCAATGTCATCATTGAATATTGTAAGAGCTTTCATTGTCTGCTTATATGCCCCCTTTATTTATCCTACGGTTCTGACTTGGTGTACAGGGAGAACACTGTAAGAACGGACCATGTTCTGAATTCTGTCGCTGTACATTTCAAAAGTGCTGAACAAATAGTTATATTGATGTGGTCCTCTGTAGCTCAGCTGGTAGAGCACGGCGCTTGTAACGCCAAGGTAGTGGGTTCGATCCCCGGGACCACCCATACACAAAAAAATAATAATGTATGCTCGCATGACTGTAAGTCGCATTGGATAAAAGCGTCTGCTAAATGGCTTATTATTTATTATTATTACGTCCGTCCTAGCTCGCTCATTAATGTCTTAATCGATATTACGGATTGCCTCTTATCCGCTCGTCGTTCCCTTATGCCATAGTTTGTACATCTCAATTGTCAGTAGAAACCACATTTGTTTAAGCAAGTCAGCCATATCAGCTATGTTTTTTCAAAAGGCAGTAAATGAGGCTGAATGAACTGTTTCGCTGCCAGACAAGGCTCAGCTGATAGCCAGGTGTAGCGGTGGTAAGGATTCACTCCATGGTGCTGAAAAGAAAGCTCTGCTGTTGGGACAGCTTTATGGAGGCCCTAACAGTTTGTGGGCACCGTTTGTCACCATTATAGTGCAATTAATGTATTGTTTAGTTTTGTTTAGTGTAGTGGCCTTGTATCAAATTTTTTATTTTTTTCCCACCAAGATGTACATGCTAAAATCACCACTGAGTAGCAGACACCATCTAGCTCTGTGCTCTCCAATGAGTCATCCTAATCAGGCTAGCTAGCTGGCTATGCTGTCTGACCAAATCACAACTTTAGTATATTTTCAAAGTAGATAAGGCATACTTTCACATAGAGAGAAAGAGGGAGGAATGGAGAGAGGGAAAGAGGGAGGGAGATTTGAGGGAGAGAGCGTGAAGGAGAGAGAGAGGGGGAGAGAGGGAGATTTGAGGGAGAGAGGGTGAAGGAGAGAGCGAGAGAAAGGAGAGAGAAAGAAGAGAGAAAGAGGGAAGGAGAGAGAAGGAAAGAGAGAGAGAAGGAGAGAGAGAATAATCTCTTGTGTGGAAAGAGGGAGGGAGATTTGAGGGAGAGAGGGTGAAGGAGAGAGAGAGAGAGAATGGAGAGAGAAGGAAGGAAGAAAGAAGGAAGGAGAGAGGGAAGGAGAGAGAGAAGAATCTCTTGTGTCTGTCCTCATGACTTCTATGTTAAACAAAGTTATTTTTTGCCAATATGATCACCCAAAATATTGACTATGATTTGCCATTGAAGAACAGTTAGCAGAAAGAAAACGTCAGAATATACACAATTAAATGTTTCTCCTATAACTTATTTCCTTTGGGAACAGAACACATGCCATGCATCCCAAATGGCACCCTATTCCCTATATAGTGCACTACTTTAGACCAGAGAATGGCACCCTATTCCCTATATAGTGCACTACTTTAGACCAGGGTCCATAATGCTCTGGTCAAAAGTCGTGTACCATAGAAGGGATAGGGTTCCATTTGAGAACCAGGATCAGGATCTCCTGAGTGGCGCAGTGGTCTAAGGCACTGCATCGCAGTGCTAACTGTGCCACTAGAGATCCTGGTTCGAATCCAGGCTCTGTCGCAGCCGGCCACGACCGGGAGACTCTTGGGCGGCGCACAATTGGCCAAGCGTTGTCCAGGGTAGGGGAGGGAATGGCCGGCAGGGATGTAGCTCAGTTGATAGAGCATGGCGTTTGCAACGCCAGGGTTGTGGGTTTGATTCCCACGGGGGGCCAGTATAAAAAAAAAAATAAAAAAAAATGTATTCACTAACTGTAAGTCGCTCTGGATAAGAGTGTCTGCTAAATGACTAAAATGTAAAATGTAAAAATGAGAGAGGGAACGTGGCTGGAGGGAGAAAGAGAGAAGAAAGGGGGATGCAGGGAGAAAGAGCAGGGTAGAGAGAGAAAGAAAGGAGAGAGAGAGAGAGAAGAAAAGAGTAGAGAGTGAATGAGGCTATTGCCTCTACAGGTGTCCTTCAGTGCTTCCTTCCAAAGTTCATCTAGAGTAGGAGAACGCCACTGTGGTGTGTGTGTGTGTGTCAGCGGTCTGAGGTAGGACAAAGACAGCTGTTAGGATATGAACTGTGTGTGTGTGTGTGTGTGTGTGTGTGTGTGTGTGTGTGTGTGTGTGTGTGTGTGGTGTGTGTGTGTGTGTGTGTGTGTGTGTGTGTGTGTGTGTGTGTGTGTGTGTGTGTGTGTGTGTGTGTGTGTGTGTGTGTGTGTATCATGTTGCAGGAGTGGGTTGATACACTGGTCTGTGTGGACTCAGTTACTTTATGTGTGACCGTACGAAAGTCTGTGAAGAAACAATAAATGAATCATATCGGAGCTGTAGCTCCGCCCACCGGTGTAGTGCAGCAGAGCTCAGAGAAGTTCGGTTGTCACTAGTTACCACAGCCACAAAGTAAAAACATTGGCGATATCGTAAAAATCCATGAAAACTAAAATGTGCTTTTTGGTCTTAATTGAAGCTTAGCAGTGTGATTAAGGTTATGTGTTTTCTTTCATTGTGTTAGCCAAAGCCAGAGTTATCATTCATTGTGTTAGCCAAGGCCAGATCATCATGTCATCAGAATAAGACCCTCACCTTACACATTCACCACCCTGTGAAGATCATAACTTGTTACATCAGTAGTGTAATAAACTGCATGCTTTCCCGAGTCGTAGTGGGAGGACCACACAGCATATCATCGCGTGACTCCACGTGTACTTCGATATGATGGTTATTAAATCAATATTTGCACATAAAGGCGTTTCCAACGGCATTTCTCGCATAATTCATTTTACCGACACAAAAAGTCCCACCACGTCAAAACGAAAAAATGGTCTGTCTGCATTTATAAAATTGTACCGGCATTTCCTGTTTCCATCAGCCCGGTCGTCACTTTTTTTATGAGTCTGGTAATTCATCCGCATGAAATGGTTGGATGGAAACTTGGTTATAGATAGAGAGCGAGAGCGAGGAAGTGTCAGCCTTTTGCCTTCACCATGCCCCATTTAAATCTCTGTCCCACTCACCTTTGTCATCAAACAACAATGGGCATTATCATTCTACTTCAATCTCTCTCTCTCTCTCTCTCTCTCTCTCTCTCTCTCTCTCTCTCTCTCTCATTCACCCTCTGTCCTTCTCTCTCTCTCTGCCTCTCCCTCACTCACTCGCTCTCTGCCCTTCACCTTCAAGGGGACTTTGACCACTGATTAACAGCAATATTGAGCAATAAAACCTAATTATTTGAAGGGTATGGAAAAACAGAAAGGATGAAAAATGAGGGCGAGAGAGATAGAGGGAGGAAAAAAGAGTGAGAGGAGGTGACAAGAGAAAGAAGGGAGAGAGAGGGAGAGGGGAGAAGCGATGAAACAGTTCCAATATTGAGCAGCTGTAGAGCTGACAGTTCCTAGAACACAACCACTGAAGCATCTCTCTCTCTCGCTAGCTCACACACACAACAGAAGAGCAAAAACATTCTACTATGAACACATCACTCTGCTTAAATTAATATATTAGTGTTAGTTAAAGTCGTTTCTTTTAATTCTGATTGCAGAAAGTACAGTAAATGTTTTCTCCAAGAACCACATACATTTAGATTATCTCCATCAGTAGCAACCAGTATTTAGTCTATATTTGGTTATTTAAGATTATCTCCATCAGTAGCAACCAGTATTTAGTCTATATTTGGTTATTTAAGATTATCTCCATCAGTAGCAACCAGTATTTAGTCTATATTTGGTTATTTAAGATTATCTCCATCAGTAGCAACCAGTATTTAGTCTATATTTGGTTATTTAAGATTATCTCCATCAGTAGCAACCAGTATTTAGTGAAACTTAACCGATCAGAGAGCAAGGTGGATCTATTACCATATTGCTTACAGCTTTAACATCCTCTAAGATCTCCACAAGTGCGTAGGGTTTAGGGGTCCATTTGGGATTGGGCATTAGTGTGAGATTAGTCTCATCGTGATTGGCCCCTTTCAGTTCATGGCTCATTTACAAATTACATTAGACTCACTAACAGAGTCGCTTGCCATTCGATTCCTCATTGCTGTGATTCACTGGCTATAAGACTCCTTAGTTATCAGATTTACATTATGAATCATCCCTTGTCAGATTCATGATTCTGTGTCATGGATATTTCCTCGTGCTCCCGTGACAGCACCATATCTTAATTTTCACAATATCTAATATCACATTTTCAACAGATCACCATGCATAACAGCTGTCATGATGACAACAATGTGTCCGTCTGTCTGACATCACTTCTGTCCTCCCAGGGCTTCGAACACTGCTCTCAAGATGCCAGCTATCGCCACGGCACCAGGTGTCAGGAAGGGTCACGCGTACTGTGGCGATGTAGCTGGCTCGTCCCGCCCTGGCTGTGAGGTCACGGGTAGACGCTGCACGCCAGTTTCAGCTTTCTAGGGAAAGAGAGGAGGGAGACAGAAATAGAGATAGAAAAGGTAGAAAGAAAGAAGAAAGAGAGAGAGAGAGAGAGAGAGAAAGAGAGAGAAGGAGAGATAGAGAGAGAGAGAGAGAGAGAGAAGATAGAGATAGAGATGAGGACAGATATAGACAGCCAATAGAGATACTAGAATAGGAGATAGGAGATAGATATACTCATATCATTAATCGATTTATATCAGCTAGTATCTCTAGATATTAGCTCTCTCTATCTCTCTCTCCCCCCTACTCTCTCTCTCCTCTATCTCTCATCCTCTCTCTTTCTGTCCCTCCCTCTTTCTCTCCCTATCTCTCTATCTTCCTCTCTCCCTCTCTCTTCTCTCTCTCTCTCTACTCTCTCTCTCTCTCTCTCCTCTCTCTCTCTCTCACCCCTCCTCGTTCTCACCCTCCATCCTCTCCCTCGCTCTCTCCTATCTCTCCTCCCGCTTCACTCCTCTCTCTCTCTCCTACATCTTTCTCTCTCCCTCTTTCTCTCTCAAAATCTTTCTCATCCCTACGCAAAAGAGATATATCGAGAGAAGACAGAGACAGGATGTTAGACACAAACCCTGTCCTTTTCAGTGGTTGCTGAACTGAAAGAACTAAGCAAAAATAAAGGTATACGTCAGGGGTAGATAACCCTGGTCCTGGAGGGCCACAGACACTGTCTACATCAGGGGTAGATAACCCTGGTCCCGGAGGGCCACAGACACTGTCTTTGATTTAACCAACCTGGAAGACCAGGGGCCTCATTTATCAATATTGCGTAGAAACTATTGTAAAATACTACTTACAAATGGAATTTAGAGTGTTCGTACACGTAGAAAAACGATGATTTATCAAACAATCCTACAAGCGTCAAACCCACACCGGTAGGAGATAACCCTTGATAAATACCATCTCAGCCTCAGTGCTTTTTTAAAACACCCCTAATTAACGATATATGGTCAAATTCAGCCCTTTAAATCCCAACGTGGGGAATCTACAACGCCGTACCATGAACTAGCCTACGATGGCACAACCCAAAAAAGCGAAGAAAAAAAAACTTAACTTTTCAGAGACTGAAATAGAGGAGCTCGTGTAAGAGATTGAGTACAACCAAAAAGTTGAATTTATTTATTGCTCAGTTGCAGCTTGAGTAGTAAAAATAAAAACATACAGTGCCTTCAGAAAGTATTCATCACACCCCTTGACCTTTTCCCCACATTGTTGTTAAAGCCTGAATTAAAAATAGCATTAAATTGAGATGTGTCACTGACCTACACACACACACACACACACACACAATAACCCATAATGTCAAAGTTTTCCCAAATGTTTACAAATAAATGAAAAATGAAAAACTGAAATGTCTTGAGTCAATAATTATTCAACACCATTTTTGAATGGCAAGCCATAATAAGTTGCATGGACTCACTCTGTGGTTAACATGATTGTTTATCGACTAACTCATCTCTGTACCCCACACATACAATTATCTGTAAGGTCCCTCAGTCGAGCAGTGAATTTCAAACACAGATTCAACCACAAAGACCAGGGAGGTTTTCCAATGCCTTGCAAAGAAGGGCTCCTATTGGTAGATGGGTAAACATTTTAAAGCAGACATTGAATATCCCTTTGAGCATGGATGGTGTATCAACACACCCAGTCACTACAAAGATACAGGCATCCTTCCTAACTCAGTTGCCGGAGAGGAAGGAAACCACTCCGGGATTTCACCATGAGGCCAATGGTGACTTTAAAACAGTTACAGAGTTTAATGGCTGTGATAGGAGAAAACTGAGGATGGATCAACAACATTGTAGTTACGGCACAATACTAACCTAATTGACAGAGTGAAAAGAAGGAAGCCTGTGCAGAATACAAATATTCCAAAACATGCATCCTGTTTGCAACAAGGCACTAAAGTAAAACTGCAAAAATGTGGCAAAGCAATTCACTGTTTGTCCTGAATACAAAGTGTTATGTTTGGGGCAAATTCAATACAACACATGACTGAGTACCTACTCTCCATATTTTCAAGCATAGTGGTGGCTGCATCATGTTATGGGTATGCTTGTAATCATTAAGGACTGGGGAGTTCTTTCAGGATAAAAAATAAATGGAATGTAACTGAGCACAGGCAAAATCCCAGAGGAAAACCTGGTTCAGTCTGCTTTACCACCAGACACTGGGAGATGTCTCACCTTTCAGCAGGTCAATAACCTAAAAGGCTGAATCTACACTGGAACTGCTTACCTAGAATACAGTGAATGTTCCCGAGTGGCCGAGTTAGTTCTGACTTACATCTGCTTGAAAATCTATGGCAAGACCTGAAAATGGTTGTCTAGCAATGATCAACAACCAATTTGACAGAGCTTGAAGACATTTTAAAATAATAAAAATGGGAAAATTTTGCACAATCCTGGTGTTGAAAGCTCTTAGACTTACCCAGAAAGACTCACAGCTGTAATCGCTGCCAAATGTGCTTCTACAAAGTACTGACTCGGGGATGTGAATATTTGTCTAATCAAGATATATTAGTTGTATTTTTATTTATTTTCACAAATGTTAGAATTTTTGACAGAGTATTTTGTGTAGATCGTTGACATAAAATTACAATTAAATCAATTTTAATCCCACTTTGTAACAACAAAATATGGAAAAAGTCAAGGGGTGTGAATACTTTCAGAAGGCACTGTAGCTACAAAGAGAAGACCATTAGGACAATTCAAGTTGCTTTAGCAATGGGCGGTCTACGGCCCGTGACGTGAACGGGAAAAAGTGGTGAGGGAGGAGCGTCCTTCTCAAATCGAAACAGTAATCTGCGCCATTTGGTAACGTTGCCAACAAGGCAGCATGGTGCATCGTCCAGAAACACAACAACAACAACATCTCTTTTACATGAAATATATCATGTTTGAATTTTCTAACTAGTTTTCATTGGGAAGGCATGTAAAGCGTTTTTATCAAAAGCAAATCACTTTTGCATGTGAAAACACAGAATCCTACTCGTTACGCCACGCGCTTAATTACGTCACTTTTGTTTTGAGCAGACTTCACCGTGGGCTTTGCATGGGGCACCTGGCTCATACCCGGAAGGCAGCGCGGTTCCAAAACGAATGCAATCGACTTTCACCCGGTGCAAAACACGCCTGCCCCGAATCCCCTCAGTGGCAAATATGAGTCATATGAGGAAATCAGTCAATTGAAATAAATTCATTAGGCCCTAATCTATGGATTTCACATGACTGAGAATACAGATATGAATCTGTTGGTCACAGATACCTTAAAAACAAATGGGCCCCAGGACCTCGTCACCGTATTTTTTTGTGCATTGAAATTGCTATCGATACAATTTAATTGTGTTCGTTGTCCGTAGCTTATGTCTGCCCATACCATAACCCCACCGCCACCATGGGGCACTCTGTTCACAACATTGATGTCAGCAAACAGCTCACCCACACAACGCCATAGACTTGGTCTGCGGTTGTGAGGTCGTTTGGGGATGGTGCTTTTATGGCGATGTGGCGCTGTCTATTGCTCCGTTCAGATTTGGGAATTATTGATGGCATAATATAATATAATAATAATAATAATAATAATAATAATAATATGCCATTTAGCAGACGCTTTTATCCAAAGCGACTTACAGTCATGTGTGCATACATTTTTACGTATGGGTGGTCCCGGGAATCGAACCCACTACCCTGGCGTTACAAGCGCCATGCTCTACCAATTGAGCTACAGAGGACCACATCATGGCAAAGAAACCCCTCTTGACTGTAACCAGTTGTGCGACGGTGTATGGAAACTGTATGTTACTGTTAGTTTTGCTGATGATTGCATCTAATTACATTGGCTCATCGAGGGCTGTGAGATGCCGGTCGGCAAGCTCCTGTTGAAAAAAAAACCTGAGGGTGGGTAGCACTTGGATGTGCAACGGAATGGCATGCGTTTGCCTTTTAAAAGTAGGTCTTAAATCTTTGCATTGGAAAACGATATCTGATGAGCCAATCTGTACTTTCTGCAAAAAAAAAAAGTCCCACCTGTCTCTAAAAACGCACTCTCCGCAAAATGCAGCATGTGCGAAATCTTCCAACAAAGCAAGATCAGCCATCTCTCATTGGATTTCCATTATCTCAGTCTTTTATAGTATTTACACAATGGTTCACACGTGCCTCTAATTTAACAATTGACTGTACTTGTTTTTTTTAACATCTTTCTTGTACTTTTACCCCTTTTTCGTGGGGTAAATTTGTAGTTACAGTCTTGTCCCATCGCTGCAACTCCCCTATGGACTCGGGAGAGGCGAAGGTCGAGAGCCATGTGTCCTCCGAAACAAGAGCTTGCCAAGCCGCACTGCTTCTTGACACACCGCTTGCTGAACCCGGAAGCCCGCCGCACCAACGTGTCGGAGGAAACACTACCCAGCTGGTGACCGAAGTCAGCTTGCACTGCGCCCGGCCCGCCACAAGGAGTCACTAGAGCGCGACGGGACAAGGAAATCCCAGCCGGCCAAACCCTCCCCTAACCAGGACGATGCTGGGCCAATTGTGCGCCGCCTCATGGGTTCTCCCGGTCACGGCCGGCTGGGATTGAACACGGATCTGTTTTCCCCCGTTCTACGCTTGACAAGCAGTTCCCTTATTCCACCGCTTGGCACTGTGCTACGCATGGTCATGGCTGGGCCTAAATGTACGCACACTCTCAAGCAAACTTTCATATCGATCAATTTCACACTTTGCGTGGAAATGATCCCACGCATGGTTTACTCAGATCTGTGCCTACGCATGATTGATAAATGAGGCCCCAGGTGTGTTGAATTTAGGCAATCACTGACCTGATCAATTAACTCAGTTGGTCAGGTGTTGTGCTTAGTTGGAACAAAATCCTGCAGTACCTGCGGCGCTCCAGGAACAGGGTTGCCTACCCCTGGTCTACGCAATATGGTGGAATTGAAGGACTAGGTCTAGGTATAGTCATCAGGTCTAGGTATAGTCATCAGGTCTAGGTATAACCATCAGGTCTAGGTATAACCATCAGGTCTAGGTATAACCATCAGGTCTAGGTATAGTCATCAGGTCTAGGTATAACCATCAGGTCTAGGTCTAACCATCAGGTCTAGGTCTAACCATCAGGTCTAGGTATAGCCATCAGGTCTAGGTATAGCCATCAGGTCTAGGTATAACCATCAGGTCTAGGTATAACCATCAGGTCTAGGTATAACCATCAGGTCTAGGTATAGTCATCAGGTCTAGGTATAACCATCAGGTCTAGGTATAACCATCAGGTCTAGGTATAACCATCAGGTCTAGGTATAACCATCAGGTCTAGGTATAACCATCAGGTCTAGGTATAGTCATCAGGTCTAGGTATAACCATCAGGTCTAGGTATAACCATCAGGTCTAGGTATAACCATCAGGTATAGGTATAGCCATCAGGTCTAGGTCTAAGTTGTAGTACAGTCCTGTACCTCCACAGCAGCCTGCAGAATGGCCATGTGACCACCAGGTGGCGATGTTGTCAGTCTCCTCAGTTCCTCCACTGCTGGACACAGAGCATCCAACTGGACAAGAGAGAGTTTAGACAATTTCACAAAAATACACACATACAGTTACATAGCAGCATATTCCCCCCCCCCCCCCCACCCTCTTTTTAGCATATTCTTGGGGTGTTTTCCACATTTGGTCCCTTTCAGCCAATATCTGTGAACTCAGTGCAGTTCGCTTCATGTTTTGTGCAGTGTGAACGCTCCAAAGGAACTCACACCTCTCAAAAGAGCCCCCGAAGCAAACCGAACTGAGACCATCTCGAGACGTCTGCAACACCGTTTCCCCTGTCATAACCCCTCACACTAGACTACTGCCATAACCCCTCACACTAGACTACTGCCATAACCCCTCACACTAGACTACTGCCATAACCCCCCACACTAGACTACTGCCATAACCCCTCACACTAGACTACTGCCATAACCCCTCCCACTAGACTACTGCCATAACCCATCACACTAGACTACTGCCATAACCCCTCACACTAGACTACTGCCATAACCCCTCACACTAGACTACTGCCATAACCCCTCACACTAGACTACTGCCATAACCCCTCACACTAGACTACTGCCATAACCCCTCACACTAGACTACTGCCATAACCCCTCACATTGGTGCCACAAAAGAGAGCAGATGATGATGTGCAGGTTCACGTAAAAAAAAAACGTGTGCTGTTTTTTTAAATATTGATTAGTGATTGTCAAGGATGCACAGAAATTCCAAAATATGTGTGGAGTTTTTTAGTTCCGATTATTTGTTCGCAATGTGTGATCTGTAGACTAGGAGAGCTTCATGAGCTGTTTATTTGATTGTGGGGTTTGAATTGTGTGAGAAGACAATATATTTGGTGAGAATCACATAGAATAGATGTTGTACCCTCTTAAATGTGGCAGTATCCTACCAAGGGTGGACAATTTTCAATTACGCATTATTTATTCTGCAGTTATTCTATAGCTATTTATTCTGTTACCGATAATATTGACATGTTAATAGTATCTTCTGATTACAATTATTATGCCTCATATTTTAACTACATGCAACCTATTCGCTTCCAAAATGTAAGTAGGTATATGGTATATATAACTGTCCGATAACACATTCTGATGTGCCTTGTAAAAGTATTCACCCCCTTGGCGTTTTTCCTATTTTGTTGCATTACAACCTGTAATTTAAATTGATTTTTATTTGGATTTCATGTAATGGACATACACAAAATAGTCCAAATTGGTGAAGTTTCAAAGAATTCTACAAAATAAATAACGGAAAAGTGGTGCGTGCATATGTATTCACCCCCTTTGCTATGAAGCCCCTAAATAAGATCTGGTGCAACCAATTACCTTCAGAAGTCACATAATTAGTTAAATAAAGTCCACCTGTGTGCAATCTGTCACATGATCTCAGTATGTATACACCTGTTCTGAAAGGCCCCAGAGTCTGCAACACCACTAAGCAAGGGGCACCACCAAGCAAGCGGCACCATGAAGACCAAGGAGCTCTCCAAACAGGTCAGGGACAAAGTTGTGGAGAAGTCCCGATCAGGGTTGGGTTATAAAAAAATATCAGGAACTTTTAACATCCCACGGAGCACCATTAAATCTATTATTAAAAAATTGAAAGAATATGGCACCACAACAAACCTGCCAAGAGAGGGCCGCCCACCAAAACTCACAGACCAGGCAAGGAGGGCATTAATCAGAGAGGCAACAAAGAGACCAAAGATAACCCTGAAGGAGCTGCAAAGCTCCACAGCGGAGATTGGTGTATCTGTCCATAGGACCACTTTAAGCTGTACATTCCACAGAGCTGGGCTTTACGGAAGAGTGGCCAGAAAAAAGCCATTGCTCAAAGAAAAAAATAAGCAAACGTTTGGTGTTCGCCAAAAGGCATGTGGGGGACTCCCCAAACATATGGAAGAAGGTACTCTGGTCAGATGAGACTAAAATTGAGCTTTTTGGCCATCAAGGAAAACGCTATGTCTGGCGCAAACCCAACACCTCTCACCACCCTGAGAACACCATCCCCACAGTGAAGCATGGTGGTGGCAGCATCATGCTGTGGGGATGTTTTTCCATCGGCAGGGACTGGGAAACTGGTCATAATTGAAGGAATGATGGATGGCGCTAAATACAGGGAAATTCTTGAGGGAAACCTGTTTCCTGTTTCAGTCTTCCAGAGATTTGAGACTGGGACGGAGGTTCACCTTCCAGCAGGACAATGACCCTAAGCATACTGCTAAAGCAACACTTGAGTGGTTTAAGGGGAAACATTTAAATGTATTGGAATGGCCTAGTTAATAGGGGGATGGGGGGGGGGGGGGGTGAATAGTTATGCACGCTCAAGTTCTGATTTTTTGTCTTATTTCTTGTTTGTTTCACAAAAAAAATTATTTTGCACCTTCAAAGTGGTAGGCGTGTTGTGTAAATCAAATGATACAAACCCACAAAAAATCTATTTTAATTCCAGGTTTTAAGGCAACAAAATAGGACAAATGCCAAGGGGGGTGAATACTTTCGGAAGCCACTGTATCTAGCGGTCCGATAACACATTCTGATTGGCTTGCTGAGTGCATGTTGGAAGAAGATCTTGGCTCCTTTCTAAACATAGCAATGTGAATGCAAAGAGGATTCGGTCCACAAAATAGGTGAAGGGAAGAGTTGAGTCCTCATTCAAAGACAAGGGTATTGTGAATACAAAAGACAACTGAGTTCTTTAGTTGTTTTGTTTTTTACCCCAGAGTTCACTTTAAAGAGGACTGAGATCTGTTATTTTAAAGATAGCTATATGTGAAAACCCCCTTAGTGACCGTTACCATAGTCCTGTCTCCAGGATCAGCTCCTCCATACCTGCCAGACAGACAAAACTGCTTTAGAAAATAATTACTATTATTTTTTTTGACAATTCAAGCGACTTTGAAAAAGCGCTATATAAAATCTATGTATTATTATTTAGTATAATTCAATTACATTAGTTAATTGAAATGACAAGAACACGCGCACACACAAACTCGCACCATCTCATAGCGTCTGTCCCAGCATGCATAGCGTTGGCCCAGGCTGCAGGGGTCGCTGCGGTCCTTCAGAAGAGCAGCAGCTGCAGTCAGGAACAAACTGTACAACTGGAGGTGTGTGTTAGAGAGAGAGGGAGAGGGAGGAGGGAGAGGGAGAGGGAGAGGGAGAGAGGAGAGAGAGAGAGTGAGACAGTGAGACAGACAGAGAGAGAGAGAGAAACCAGAGTCCGACAGACATTAGAGAGAGAGATAGAGAAAGATGGAGAGAGCGAGAAATATAGAAGATAGATAAGAGAGAGGAGATATAAATAGATAGATAGAGAGAGAAGATAGGAGGATATAGCACGAGATGATATATATATAGAGATATAGACAGATATGCCATCTACTAGTCGAGAGATACGAAAATGATAAATATCGATTATACTCTCTAAATCCTCTTCACCTTCTCTCCCTCTCTTCCCTTCTCTTGCTCGCTCTCTCTCTTATCGCACCTCGCTGAATCGAGCTCCCGACTCGCTCAAACGATAGTTACCTATCTCTTTCTAGGCTCAGTCCTATAGCTTATATAGTAGAGATATTTATACCTTTATACAGACCTAGAAACATACATATATTAATATCTATGCTCTGATATATCATCCGATGTATATATATATATATATCTATAGTATTATATATCCATACTCGCTTCGTATATATCTAAAATATCGTATCTCTAGCTTCACGAGTAACTCTATATCTCTCTACCTCCTCATTCTCTCTCTATATCTCTCCCTACTCTTCTCTCTCTCTCTCTCCCTCTCTCTTCTTCTCCTCTCCCTTCTCTTCCCTCTCCTCGACCTCGCTTCCCCTCTCTCTTTCTCTCTCTCGCTCTCCTCTCTCTCCTCTCTCTCTCTCTCTCTCTCTCTCTCTCTCTTCTCTCTCTCTCTCTCTCTCTCTCACTCTTCTCTCTCCCCTCGCTCGCTCTCTCTCGCTTTTCTCGCGGCTCTCTTCTCTCTCTCTTCCTCCTCTCTTCTCTCTCTCTCCTCTCTCCCTCTTCTCTCTCTCTCTCTCTTCTCTCTCTCTCTTCTCTCTCTCTTCCCTCTCTCTCTGCTCTCTCCCTCGCTCCTCTCTCTCAGCTCTCTCTCTCTGCTCTCGCTCTCGCGCGCTCCCTCTCGCTCGTCCGTCTCCCTCTCTTCCTCTCACCTCTCTCTCTCTTTCTCTCTCTGCCTTCTCTCGTCCTCTCCCCTCTCTTCTCTCTCCCTCTCTTACTCTCTCTCCCTCCCCTCTCTTCTCTCTCTCGCTCGCCTGTTTTTTTCTTCTCCCTCTCTGCTCTCTCTCTTCTCTCCCCCTCTCTTCTCTGCTCCCTGCTCTCGCTCTTCCTCTCTCTCCCCTCTCTCTCTTCTCTCCTCCCTCCCTTCTCGCTCCCTCTCATTCTTCTCTTTTTTGCGAGAGAAGAACACACCCTCATGTTCCCCTATTTCCCCTGAAAACCTGACCACAAACTCCCATCTTACACTATGTCAATGGTGTTATCACTGACCGCTCCTGAAGACCCGCCCATTCTCTCCTGCACCAATCCGGCAAGAGTGGACAGCAGTTGCCCTGGGCAACCAGGAACAAGGTGACTCTGAAGCCACTCCTGAATGGCTGAGAGAGAGAGAGAGAGGTGGGGATTATACATGGAAAATATCCTATCAAATGAATACTGTTCACAAATGTTGCATAGTCAAATCAAATCAAATTTTATTGGTCACATGCGCCGAATACAACAAGTGCAGACATTACAGTGAAATGCTTACTTACAGCCCTTAACCAACAGTGCATTTATTTTTAACAAAAAGAGTAAAAATAAAACAACAACAAAAAAAGTGTTGAGAAAAAAAAAGAGCAGAAGTAAAATAAAGTGACAGTAGGGAGGCTATATATACAATAGAATAAAGTGACAGTAGGGAGGCTATATATACAGGGGGTACCGGTGCAGAGTCAATGTGCGGGGGCACCGGCTAGTTGAGGTAGTTGAGCTAATATGTACATGTGGGTGTATTTGCAAGTACGCAATTAATGTCTTCACCTTTGGCAGCTTGGGCATGAGTGTTACCGCAATCTCCGTCCCCGGATGCCCTGTCCAGTGAGTTTAGTTCCTCTTGGCGTTGAAGGAGGGCAGAGCACACCGCTTCTAGAGCCTTCCTCATCACACCACTGAGAGGACCTGACACACACATATTTATTCAATATATCAAAAATTACATTTAAAAAATGAGGGAACAATATGACTGACTGGATAGGAACCCAGGTCTCCTGCATCCCCCCCAAGACTGTTAGCCCAGTGAGCTAAACCTAGGTCTCCTGCATCCCCCAAGACTGTTAGCCCAGTGAGCTAAGCCTTGGCATGATACTATTCCAACAGGTCTTAGCTGTAGGCTACCACCCGTGTGAGGTGTCAGGTGTGTGTAAGTGTGTGTGTTGTCCTAACCGTACCTTCTGTGTGCGAGGTCTCTTGCATGTCTTTCGCTGGAGGGTCCAGAATGTAACTCCTCCCACTGATACACGCAGTGCTGAGGTTGGGCCAGGCAGGGGCTGTGGTCTTGGCATCTGAGAGGGAGATGGGGAGAGAGATGGATGGATGGGGAGGGAGAGAGATGGGATGGAGGGAAGATGAGGAGAGAGAAGAGGGGAGGGGAGGGGAGATAGGGGAGGGAGGAGAGAGAGAGAGAGATAGGAGGGAGGGAGGGAAGAGGGGGGGTAGGGGAGGAGAGAGAGTAGATGGGGAGGGCAGGGAGACGAGGAGTAGAGATGGGGGAGGGAGGGAGGGGATGGGGGGAGGGAGGGAGATGGGGCGGGAAGGAGGGGAGAGAGAGAGATGGGGGGGTAGGGAGGGAGGAGAGAGAAAGTTGGGAGGAGGAAGATGGGGGAGGGAGGGGAGATGGGGGGGAGGGAGGGAGAGGGAGAGGTGGGGAGGGAGGGAGATGGGGAAAGAGGGAGTGGGGGAAAGAGGGAGAGGATGGGGGGACGGAGGAGGAGAGATGGATGGGGAGGGAGAGAGGGAGAGAGAGAGAGAGAGATGGGGAGGTATTTGTCAGCGTATTCGGCAGTGTGTGTGGGGGAGATTCTCAATTGGGCAATAGTGTGTCTTCTCCTTGACTCCTGGGAAACCGATAAGTGGTTGAGGAGTGTCCATTGGTTAGTAGGAGTCTGTTCCCCTCCTCGACAGAGGATGCACAAGAGTATCCTCGTGACAGCTAGTGCCAAAGTGTTTTATAATCCACCACACCCCCTTTCATTCAGCTGTTGATTTCTCAAAGGAGAAAGGCACGACAACATGTTAAAACTATCGTATCCTTTTAAAATGTCTTGCACAACTATCACTTTACACATTTATTTATGGATTCCTCCTCTGTAAACTTCATGATGACGCGCGACTGGAGAAGGACAGTCTCATTTCATACAAGTGCATTTGTTTCCACGTTCCCCTCTCGCCTCCGCTCATTTAACTTTGACCTTTTTCAAAAAGAGATGAGAGAGGACCGAGGAGAGGTGAGCAGAACCAATTGAGATTCTCCCTGTGTGTGTTCTCACCAAACCAGTGTTACAAGGTGACTGTGTGTGTTCTCACCAAACCAGTGTTACAAGGTGACTGTGTGTGTTCTCACCAAACCAGTGTTTACAGGTGACTGTGTGTGTTCTCACCAAACCAGTGTTACAAGGTGACTGTGTGTGTTCTCACCAAACCAGTGTTACAAGGTGACTGTGTGTGTTCTCACCAAACCAGTGTTAGAAGGTGACTGTGTGTGTTCTCACCAAACCAGTGTTACAAGGTGACTGTGTGTGTTCTCACCAAACCAGTGTTACAAGGTGACTGTGTGTGTTCTCACCAAACCAGTGTTAGAAGGTGACTGTGTGTGTTCTCACCAAAACCAGGTTGTTAGAAGGTGACTGTGTGTGTTCTCACCAAAACCCAGTGTTACAAAGGTGACTGTGTGTGTTCTCACCAAACCAGTGTTACAAGGTGACTGTATGTGTTCTCACCAAACCAGTGTTACAAGGTGACTGTGTGTGTTCTCACCAAACCAGTGTTACAAGGTGACTGTGTGTGTTCTCACCAAACCAGTGTTACAAGGTGACTGTGTGTTGTTCTCACCAAACCAGTGTTACAAGGTGACTGTGTGTGTTCTCACCAAACCAGTGTTACAAGGTGACTGTGTGTGTTCTCACCAAAACCAGTGTTACAAGGTGACTGTCGTGGTCTCACCAACGTGTTACAAGGTGGACGTGTGTGTTTCTCACCAAACCAGTGTTACAAGGTGGACTGTGTGTGTTCTCACCAAACCAGTGTTACAAGGTGACTGTGTGTGTTCTCACCAAAACCAGTTGTTACAAGGTGACTGTGTGTGTTCTCACCAAACCAGTGTTACAAGGTGACTGTGTGTGTTCTCACCAAACCAGTGTTACAAGGTGACTGTGTGTGTTCTCACCAAACCAGTGTTACAAGGTGACTGTGTGTGTTCTCACCAAACCAGTGTTACAAGGTGACTGTGTGTGTTCTCACCAAACCAGTGTTACAAGGTGACTGTGTGTGTTCTCACCAAACAGTCGGAGTATCTCCTGGTCTGCTCTCATCAGTGACAGAGACACTCCGGCCATCTCCAGTGATGTCATAAATGACCCCGACATCGCCCGGGCAACCCGCACCCCACGACCCTCTGTAACCATGGCAAAAAAATAAAAATAATTCAAAGAGAGATTCCACAGAGAATGTAAACAAGGTGCCCCCAATAACAATGTGAGGTTAACAATTAGCTTTTCATAATGCAATAAAATACAATATTATGCATCGTTATTCACACAGTTTGTCAGTTAGTGTCTTACCCAGGTAGTGTATGGCAGAACTAGTAACAACAGCTATCTCTAGACAAGACAGCGCTCCAAGGTTGTTGACACACAGAACCACACTGTCACCTGTAACGGAGAGAAGGAGGGTACATGGTTAAAAGGAGGGTACACGGTTAAAAGGAGGGTACACGGTTAAAAGGAGGGTACATGGTTAAAAGGAGGGTACATGGTTAAAAGGAGGGTACATGGTTAAAAGGAGGGTACATGGTTAAAAGGAGGGTACACGGTTAAAAGGAGGGTACATGGTTAAAAGGAGGGTACATGGTTAAAAGGAGGGTACATGGTTAAAAGGAGGGTACATGGTTTAAAAAGGAGGGTACATGGTTAAAAGGAGGGTACATGGTTAAAAGGAGGGTACACGGTTAAAAGGAGGGTACACGGTTAAAAGGAGGGTACACGGTTAAAAGGAGGGTCCATGGTTAAAAGGAGGTTTTCACATTTTCAACTTTTCACTGATTAAGTGCGGTGGCCCTTGTACCCGACTTCAGCGACAGATGTGATTGGCTGGCAGGGTTGGTCATATGGTCTACCATGGTCTTCACCACCTGGTCTGCCGAGGTCACCTAAAAGAGAGGTCATCATGGCATCATCATCATCATCATCTCCAGCCCCGATTATATACAACATCTCCAGCCCCGATTATACACAACATCTCCAGCCCCGATGATAACAAAATCTCCCGGCCCCCATTTATATACAAAAATCTCCAAGCCCGATATATACAACATCTCCAGCCCCGATGATATACAACATCTCCAGCCCCGATGATATACAACATCTCCAGCCCCGATTATATACAACATCTCCAGCCCCGATGATACACAGATCAAATTAATAGAAATACAACAGGTGCATTTCAAATGCCACCGTATTACTACACATTTACATTTGAGTCATTTTAGCAGACGCTCTTATCCAGAGCAACTTACAGTTAGTGAGTGCATACATTTTCATACTTTTACTGGCCCCCCCGTGGGAATCGAACCCACAACCCTGGCGTTACATACGCCATGTTCTACCAACTGCGCTACACGGGACCACATGACACCCTTTTATTACATATGTGCACTACTTTTGACCAGATAATAGAGTGCCGTTTGGAACACAGCCTATACTGTACACTAACTTTATTACACTGACCTTTGACCTCTTAATGCCAGGCTCACCATGGATACCTGAGGAGAAAGACATTAACATGATCTAAATAATAAATAACTAACTGTGCTCTTTCCCCCCCAATATAAGTTATCTATTCCAAACATTTAATGTAATTTACCCAGACCCAGCTCTCCTCCCTCACCCAGTACCAGCTCTCCCTCCCTCACCCAGTACCAGCTCTCCCTCCCTCACCCAGTACCAGCGAAAGCCTCCCATGACAGACCAGCTCTACTCCATACCTTACAGCTCTCCTCCCTCACCCAGTACCAGCTCTCCATCCCTCCCTACCAGTACCAGCTCTCCTCCCTCAACAGTACCAGGTCTCCCTCCCTCAACCCAGTCCAGCTCTCCCTCCCTCACCCAAGTCCCAGCTCCCTCACCTCCCTCACCCAGTACACCAGCTCTCCCTCCCTCACCCAGTACCAGCTCTCCCTCCCTCTACCCAGTACCAGCTCTCCCTCCCCCCCAGTACCAGGTCTCCTCCCTACCCAGTCCCTCCTCCCTCCCTCACCCAGTCCCAGCTCCCTCCCTCACCCAGTACCAGCTCTCCCTCCCTCACCCAGTACCAGCTCTCCCTCCCTCCCACCCAGTACCAGCTCCCTCCCTCCCCTCCCCACACAGTCCCAGCTCTCCCTCCCTCCCCCAGACCCAGCCCCCTCCCTCCCTCCCCCCACCCAGTACCAGCTCTCCCTCCCTCACCCAGTACCAGCTCTCCCTCCCTCACCCAGTACCCAGCTCTCCCTCCCTCACCCAGTACCAGCTCTCCCTCCCTCACCCAGTACCAGCTCTCCCTCCCTCACCCGTCAGCTCACTCCCACCGCCCCCTCCCTCCCTCACCCAGTACCAGTCTCCCTCCCTCACCCAGTCCCCTCCCTCCCCTCCCCATCCCCCTCCCTCAACCCAGTACCAGGTCTCCTCCCTCCCAGTCCACTCCTCCCTCACACATACCAGCTCTCCCTCCCTCACCCAGTACCAGCTCCTCCCTCCCCCCTCCCTCACACCCAGTACCAAAGCTCTCCCTCCCTCACCCAGACCCAGCTCCCTCCCTCCCTCCCTCACCCAGTACCAGCTCTCCCTCCCTCCCTCACCCAGACCCAGCTCCCTCCTCCCTCCCTACCCAGTACCACCAGCTCCCTCCCTCCCTCCCTCACCCAGTACCAGCTCTCCCTCCCTCACCCAGTACCAGCTCTCCCTCCCTCACCCAGTACCAGCTCTCCCTCCCTCACCCAGTACCAGGTCCCCCCTCCCTCTCTCTCTATCTCACCCAGTACCAGCTCTCCCTCCCTCACCCAGTACCAGCTCTCCCTCCCTCACCCAGTACCAGGTCTCCCTCACTCTCTCTCTATCTCACCCAGTACCAGCTCTCCCTCCCTCACCCAGTACCAGCTCTCCCTCCCTCACCCAGTACCAGGTCTCCCTCACTCTCTCTCTATCTCACCCAGTCCCAGCTCCATCTCCCCAGCAGGCAGGTCAAAGGAGGGCAGACAGCCTGGAACACTGCAGGGAGATAAGCTGACACCCAGAGTACCTACAGGAGGAACATACACTCGCCGTAAATACTCAAGTGACAGATACAGACAAGAGAAAAGCTGACTGGGTGAAACAGTCGTGAGCGTGCGTAGATCTCACCAATGCCCTTCACTGCCTCTGTCACCTTGGAGACGATCTCATCCAATGGACAACCTTCTTCAGCCAGAGCCCCAGCAAGCTGAACGAGATTAAGAGAGATCAATGACTTTATTTTGATGATGTGGTAACATCAAAACAGTCCTAGATGATTGGGTTTAAAGTTGAAGTCAGTGGTTAAAATCCTATATCTGAATATAAAATGCTATACTTTTGTCTTTTATAATATGGTCAAAAAGAGATCACACACACTGTTCCATTTATCCATTACCTTGTGAACGAACACCGTCCCACACAGGCCCCTCCTCCCCGCCTTACTGGGTTGATCAAACGCACAGTCGTCGGCGACAATCACCATTTCGACTGCGACGCCACGGTTACGGGCCTGTTCGGCAGCGAGGCCGAAGTTGAGGCGGTCTCCGGTGTAGTTCTTAACGATGAGTAGAACGCCCAACGCTCCAGCGTCATGTAGAGACAAAATGGCCGCCAGAACACTGGCTGGGGGAGGGGATGCAAAGACACCACCTGCTACTGCTGCTGATAGCATACCACTGCCTATGTACCCTGGAGAGAGAGAGAGGAGAGAGAGAGGAGAGAGGAGGAGAGAGGAGAGGAGAGAAGGAGAGAGAGGAGAGAGGAGAGAGGAGAGAGGAGAGGAGGAGAGGAGAGAGGAGAGAGGAGAGGAGAGAGGAGGAGAGGAGAGGAGGAGAGAGGAGAGGAGAGAAGAGAGAGAGAGGAGAGAGGAGAGGAGAGAGAGGAGAGAGGAGAGAGGAGAGAGAGAGAGAGTGAGAGAGAGAGGGGATGCGTGTGCTGGCTCGTGTCCAGGCCCCCCTCCTGAGAGCAGGGCCACTCCTCCCCTGAGGACCCCCAGGTCAGCCCTGACCACCACCCTGTGGCCCCTCAGTAGAGAGAGACTGTGTGTGTGTGTGTGTGTGTGTGTGTGTGTGTGTGTGTGTGTGTGTGTGTGTGTGTGTGTGTGTGTGTGTGTGGTGTGTATACATCTAGAGACCTCGTCAAGAATGGTTGGGTTGACAGTCGCTGGACCCAGATTTCGAGTCCCGGTCAGGTCCCCTGAATTCGCAACATTGGTGTCTGAATGTGTGTATTCAGGTATGAGTGTCCTACCTGCGTGTGCTGGCTCGTGTCCAGACCCCCCTCCAGACAGCAGGGCCACCCGGCCCCTGAGGGCCTCCAGGTCAGCCCTGACCACCACCCTGTGGCCCCTCAGTAGAGAGAGACATCCAGAGCTAGAGACAATGCCTTCCAGGGCTTCGTCTACACAGCAGTCCACTGAGTTTACCAACTTCTGCCGGGGCTGGGAGAGAAGAGACATAGGCCCAAAGCCTGTAAACCATCTGATATATAAACCCTGTAACCATACCATAGACCTACAACACATAGACTAACCCTGTAACCATACCATAGACCTAGAACACATAGACTAACCCTGTAACCATACCATAGACCTACAACACATAGACTAACCATGTAACCACACCATAGACCTACAACACATAGACTAACCCTGTAACCATACGGTAGACCTACAACACATAGACTAACCCTGTAACCATACCATAGACCTACAACACATAGACTAACCCTGTAACCATACGGTAGACCTACAACACATAGACTAACCCTGTAACCATACCATAGACCTACAACACATACACTAACCCTGTAACCATACCATAGACCTACAACACATAGACTAACCCTGTAACCATACCATAGACCTACAACACATACACTAACCCTGTAACCATACCATAGACCTACAACACATAGACTAACCCTGTAACCATACCATAGACCTACAACACATAGACTAACCCTGTAACCATACCATAGACCTACAACACATAGACTAACCCTGTAACCATACCATAGACCTACAACACATAGACTAACCCTGTAACCACACCATAGACCTACAACACATAGACTAACCCTGTAACCATACGATAGACCTACAACACATAGACTAACCCTGTAACCACACCATAGACCTACAACAGACAGACAGTGTAATACTGTACAAAACAATATAATGTAATACTGTACAAAAACCAGAGGCCAATGATTGAAGGCCTAAGCCTCTCGTTAGCTACATTTGTCCTTTTCCACTAATGACAGTAAATGGACTATGCTCCTTGGATTGAACAGAATGGCCAACCATTCTGCAGGCTACTCAGTTCAAAAGCATCCCAAGACAATGTATTCGCAGCATTCAGTGACTTTCCATCGAAACAAGCGGTTTATGTGTACATTTTGAATTGGTTTTAGAGATTATTTTTTTAAGGCAGTTATCTTACCTCCATGCTTTTGCTGTTGTTTACTTCAAACGCTTTGAACTTCGAACCTCACGCTAGTGACAAAGACTACTTCACCAAGATAGACCACAGCCCGTCGTTTCAAACGGGAACAAATGAGTCATAGTGGGCAGAACAGCAAGGAGTTGGGCAGAGCCAAGCGAGGTCCTGTTGGCGAGTTCTAGCAAACATGTGCATATTTCCGCCTACTCTGTGAAGTACGTGTGTGCAATAACTCTATTCGCCTTTGCACTCCTTCTAAACAACGCTATTTTTTTTTTCAAACTTTGGCAAAGGGTAACGTCTACAAAACCTAGTCCATATTGTAGTTTGGGGAGCAGAAAATTGTATTGAGATCAAATGTTTCATCGATGAGAACATTTGCAGAATGTAGGTCAAAATCCATCTAGATCCATCTTCTCCCACTGCCGGACACTGGGCTTCCTCGCACTACCATAGTTAGCTATGTAGTGAGTGGAAACGACAAGCGGATGCTTCACATTTATACATCCGGTGAAATATCTGTCTCATTGTTCTGTCTGTGCTGGTGATGCGCAGTTCTTCTTCTTCAATGCGGTATAACGGCGGTCGGCATCCAATATGTTGCATTACCGCCCCAAACTGGACTAAAATATAAATCCATTATACTTTGTGAAACAAAATGGGAAAAGGGGAAAATAAAAAATGTAATTAAAATAAAACACCCTTCCAACTAACCCCACACTCCATGCCCTCCTGCACACTTCCCACACCTTGGAATCAATTAAATTAAATTAAATTCAAAGGGCTTTATTGGCATGGGAAACATATGTTAACATTGCCAAAGTAAGTGAAATAGATAATAAACAAAAGTGTTTACAGTAAACATTACACAAAAGTTCCTAAAGAATAAAGACATTTAAAATGTCATATTATGTCTACATACAGTGTTGTACCGATATGTAAATAGTTAAACTACAAAAGGGAAAATAAATAAATATGAGTTGTATTTACAATGGTGTTTGTTCTTCAATGGTTGCCCTTTTCTTGTGGCATCAGGTCACAAATATTGCTGCTGTGATGGCACACTGTGGTATTTCACACAGTATATATGGGAGTTTATCAAAATTGGATTTGTTTTCGAATTCTTTGTGGGTCTGAGTAATCTGAGGGAAATATGTGTCTCTAATATGGTCATACATTTGGCAGGAGGTTAGGAAATGCAGCTCAGTTTCCACCTCATTTTGTGGGCAGTGTGCACATAGCCTGTCTTCTCTTGAGAGCCAGGTCTGCCTACAGAGGCCTTTGTCAATAGCAAGGCTATGCTCACTGAGTCTGCACATACAGTGCCTTGCAAAAGTATTCACCCCCTTTGGCGTTTTTCCTATTTTGTTGCATTACAACCTGTAATTTAAATGGATTTTAATTTGGATTTCATGTAATGGACATGCACAAAATAGTCCAAATTGGTGAAGTGAAATGAAAAAAAAAAAAGTTACAAAAAATTCTAAAAGATAATTTACGGAAAAGTGGTGCGTGCATATGTATTCACCCCCTTTGCTATGAAGCCCCTAAATAAGATCTGGTGCAACCAATTACCTTCAGAAGTCACATGATTAGTTAAATAAAGTCCACCTGTGTGCAATCTAAGTGTCACATGATCTGTCACATGATCTTAGTATATATACACCTGTTCTGAAAGGCCCCAGAGTCTGCCACACCACTAAACAAGGGGCACCACCAAGCAAGCGGCACCATGAAGACCAAGGAGCTCTCCAAAGAGGTCAGGGACAAAGTTGTGGAGAAGTCCAGATCAGGGTTGGGTTATAAAAAAAAATCTGAAACTTTGAACATCCCACGGAGCACCATTAAATCCATTATTAAAAAATTGAAAGAATATGGCACCACAACAAACCTGCCAAGAGAGGGCCGCCCACCAAAACTCACGGACCAGGCAAGGAGGGCATTAATCAGAGAAGCAACAAAGAGACCAAAGATAACCCTGAAGGAGCTGCAAAGCTCCACAGCGGAGATTGGAGTATCTGTCCATAGGACCACTTTAAGCTGTACACTCCACAGAGCTGGGCTTTACAGAAGAGTGGCCAGAAAAAAGCTATTGCTTAAAGAAAAAAATAAGCAAACATGTTTGGTGTTCGCCAAAAGGCATGTGGGAGATTCCCCAAACATATGGAAGAAGGTACTCTGGTCAGATGAGACTAATGTCACGATCGTCGTAGGGAATAACCAAGGCGCAGCTTGATGAACGAACACATGTTTAAACTTTATTACTTTAGTGATAAAGACAACAATAAACAAACAAGAAAGGACTCGTGAGTCCCACGGTAAACTACATGACCAAGACGGAAACAAGAACCCACAAACACAAAGGATAACACAGATAGTTTACAATATGCTCCCAATCAGAGGACAACCAACGACAGCTTTACAACCGTTGCCTCATGATTGGGAGTCACCTAGACCAACTATAGAATAAAAAAACAGAAAGAACACACCCTGGTCTCAAACATTGGGAGAGTCCCCCAGAAGTCCAGGGTGTGACACTAAAATTGAGTTTTTTGGCCATCAAGGAAAACGCTACAGTTGAAGTCTGAAGTTTACATACACCTTAGCCAAATACATTTAAACTCAGTTATTCAGAATTCCTGACATTTAATCCTATTAAAAATGCCCTGTCTTAGGTCAGTTAGGATCACCACTTTATTTGAAGAATGTGAAATGTCAGAATAATAGTAGAGAGAATGATTTATTTCAGCTTTTATTTATTTCATCACATTCCCAGTGGGTCAGAAGTTTACATACACTCAATTAGTATTTGGTAGCATTGCCTTTAAATTGGGACAAACGTTTCGGGTAGCCTTCCACAAGCTTCCCACAATAAGTTGGGTGAATTTTGGCCCATTCCTCCTGACAAAGCTGGTGTAACTGAGTCAGGTTTGTAGGCCTCCTTGCTCGCACACGCTTTTTCAGTTCTGCTCACACATTTTCTATAGGATTGAGGTCAGGGCTTTGTGATGGCCACTCCAATACCTTGACTTTGTTGTCCTTAAGCCATTTTGCCACAACTTTGGAAGTATGCTTGGGGTCATTGTCCATTTGGAAGACCCATTTGCGACCAAGCTTTAACTTCCTGACTGATGTCTTGAGATGCATAAATAGTATGCATAAATAATAAACAGAGTAGCAGCAGCATAAAATAAGGGGATGGGGTGGGGGTGGGGGGACAATGCAAATAGTCTGGGTAGTCATGATTAGCTGTTCAGGAGTCTTATGGCTTGGGGGGAGAAGCTGTTCAGAAGCCTTTTGGACCTAGACTTGGCGCTCCGGTACCGCTTGCCGTGCGGTAGCAGAGAGAACAGTCTATGACTAGGGTGGCTGGAGTCTTTGACAATTTTTAGGGCCTTCCTCTGACACCGCCTGGTATAGAGGTCCTGGATAGCAGGAAGCTTGGCCCCAGTGATGTACTGCGCCGTACGCACTACCCTCTGTAGTGCCTTGCGGTCGGAGGCCGAGCAGTTGCCATACCAGGCGGTGATGGAACCAGTCAGGATGCTCTCGATGGTGCCGCTGTATAACTTTTGAGGATCTGAGGACCCATGCCAAATCTTTTCATTCTCCTGAGAGGGAATAGGCTTTGTCGTGCCCTCTTCACGACTGTCTTGGTGTGTTTGTACCATGATAGTTTGTTGGTGATGTGGACATCAAGGAACTTGAAGCCCTCAACCTCTCTAGTGATAAATATGTTGAAGAGGGTGGGGCTTATGAATTTTTTTTTTATGCTAAGCTTATCACTAACTGTAAGTAGCTCTGGATAAATGACTAAAATGTAAAATGTAAATGTAAATGCTTAAGCTGCATCCCTGTCTCACCCCACGGCCCTGTGGAAAGAAATGTTTGTGGTTTTTGACAATTTTAACCGTACATTTGTTGTCCGTGTACATGGATTTTATAATGTTGTATGTTTTTCCCCCAACACCTCTTTCTATCAATTTGTATAGCAGACCCTCATGCCAAATTTAGTCAAAAGCTTTTTTGAAATCAACATGAGAAGTCTTTGTTTTGTTTTGTTTTTTTGTCAATTAGGGTGTGGATGAATACGTGGTCTGTTGTACGATAATTTGGTAAAAAGACTATTTGACATTTGCTCAGTACATTGTTTTCACTGAGGAAATGTACTAGTCTGCTGTTAATGATAATGCAGAGGATATTCCCAAGGTTGCTGTTGACGCATATCCCACTGCAGTTATTGGGGTCAAATTTGTCTCCACTTTTGTGGATTGGGGTGATCAGTCCTTGGTTCCAAATATTATAATAATATAATTGATCACGTATATGTTTTTGCTGTTTGTTCTTTGTTATAGTGCCAAAAAGATTGGAGAAGTGGTTTATCTCCGTTTTGGATAGATAACCAGAAGTGGTAAGATTCTATGGATTCTTCAATTACATTGAGCTGATTTCTGACGTGCTGTTCCTTCTTTTTCCGTAGTGTATTTCTGTATTGTTTTAGTGATTCACCATAGTGAAGGCGTAGACTCAGGTTTTCTGGGTCTCTATGTTTTTGGTTAGATAGGTTTCTCAATTTCTTTCTTAGGTTTTTGCATTCTTCATCAAACCATTTGTCATTGTTGTTACTTTTCTTAGGTTGTTGTTTTTAGATTTGATCGGGAAACTGAAAGGTCAAATATACTGTTTAGGCTTTCTACTGCCAAGTTTACACCTTCACTACTACAGTGAAATCTTTTTTTCCAGGAAGTTGTCTAAAAGGGATTTAATGTGTTGTTTCCTAATTGTTTTCTGGTAGATTTCTACACTACTTTCCTTCCATCTATAGCATTTATTTAATATTGTGTAGTTCCTTTGGCTTTGATGCCTCATGATTGAGTATTTCTCTGTTCAGGTAGACTGTGATTTTGCTGTGATCTGATAGGGGTGTCAGTGGGCTGAATGTGAACGCTCTGAGAGACTCTGGGTTGAGGTCAGTGATAAAGTAGTCTACAGTACTACTGCCAAGG